GTCTGCCAACCTGGAAGTAAACCTTGGATCTCTGTCAGAGATAATACTAGAAGACACTCCATGCAACCGTACTATCTCTCTAATATACAACTGTGCAAGCCTCTCCAAAGACCACCTCTTGTTGATAGGAAGAAAGTGCGCACACTTTGTCAACTTATCAACAATCACCCAGATAGAGTCACTGTTCCTAGCTGTCCTAGGCAACCCAACCACAAAGTCCTTAGTGACACTATCACACTTCCACTCGAGAATCTCCATCAACATTAAGCTCAAAACCAGCTGCCCTCTCGGTACAACGCAATCCCAAAATCCTCAACAACTTTGGATTCTATAATTGCTTAATTCCCACCTGTCTCAAGAACTCATTAGTTATGGTGATCATACCACAACAAATTTGATCTTCAACAACCTCCACCTCTAGTCTCAAATCTCTGAACTACTCAATCAGCTCCAACTCCCTAATCAACATAACTGACACATGAATGGATTTCCTACTCAATACATCTGTTACCACACTCGCCTTCCCAAGATAATACATCAACTAGAAATCAAAGTCCTTTAGGTATTCCATCCACCTTTTTTTGCCTCATATTCAACTCCTTCTGATCACTAAATACACTGAATCTCGCACCATACAAATAGTGCCTCCACGACTTCAAGGCAAACACCACAGCTGCAAGCTCCAAATCATGAGTAGGATAATTTCTCTCATGAGTCTTAAGTTGCCTCGAAGCATACACTACTACTCTCCCTTCCTGCATCAACATTACTTCTTATGCTACTACTTTGGTGGTGCCCAAAGTAGACAGCCATTGTCTATTTAGGACTTCTTCTACTTTAGTTGTTCTAATAAAGCACCCAACCTTTGGTTTATATTGTTTATTAGATACATCTAATGGTATCTTATTTTCTATTTTTGATCTTAAGGGAAGTTCAAACTTCTTTGAACTTAACTTGACTATTTCCCTTCAAGACCAAATTAGATTCTATGACTCTTCTAAACTCTTTACACCCTCTTCCATGATGTATTTAACATATAATATGATCAAGGGTTTTCTAGGTAGTTTCCTTATTATATTCACTTTGTTTTCTTGTAGGCTCCTAGGTTACTACATAAGGTACTTTAGGCAAGATATCTTAGTATGTAGGACTACTTCATTAGTTTCTTATAGTTTTAGCACTTTCACATTTTTAGGATTTAGTTTTACACTTAGACTACACCATAGTGAGGATCCTATTCTTATTTTTAGGGAACCCATCCTTCCTAGTCTAAGGACCCTTGTTAGGACTATAGAAGGAATTCCTCATAGAGTGCACTTTCCACATGTATTATATGAATATATCATTCCTAATGCTTTGTTTCTTATTTTTGTAGGTGATGATATCCTTGTGGAAGGACCACTGGATTTGAGGACAAATCCTTTCGAAGGGGAAGGTATGATGGAAATCTAATCCCCGAGGATCCTTTTGGAAGAGGTAAGACCAAGAAGGGTGAAGGTTGATCCAAGGAGGCTCACACTTGAATACCATTGGGCCTTTAACTAGGTCCATGGTTAGGAGGCTAGAGGAGGCTTCTACAGAGGAGGTGCTTCTTAGACCTATGCTCAATATGAGTATTGAGTATGATTCCTCTTTTTAGTCTTATAGTTTCTATTGTACATACATTGTATAGTTTGATTTCTTGTACCTTGCATATAGTAGATACTTGTATAGGTGTATTTTGTCTTTGTATTTGTGAGGCATTTTATTTCTTTTATTTTAGGTTATCCTTTAGGAACTTAGGGTATGTTTCTTGGAGACTTTTGCTCCATTTGACCTTGTACTAAGGGTCATTCATTTTTGTATTTTTCAGTAGTAGAAGTGGGGTGACAAATAGCAAGGTGTGTAGGTGCAACTAGTAATTGAGCCAGAATTGGGCCTAGGCCAAATTTTACATATTGGGCTTGTTTTGCTCCATATTTTCCAAGGAATTGATTTAGCTAGGTCTCACCATCATATGGTGAACCTAACTAAACCAACTCCAAGTTTTTGGATTGGATTAAATATGGAAAAACAAGTGGGCCGCCTAGCTTGCCTTCCTTTGGCCGAAATTGCTTAGTTGCTTGTACACTTGGGAAGCTTGTGCTACAAGCCTCTAACTTAGCTTGCTTCCCAAGCTTCTAAGTTAGAAGCTTGCTCCACAAGCCTCCTAAACCGTCTAGGATGGTCAAGCTAAGGTAACCATGGTTCTCTTGAACCATAGTTAGCCTAGCTTGCACCATAAGTTTCTCCCACCATATATAAACCTTTTTTTACCTTTGTAATCACTTTTGATGATATTTTTGAGTGAGATCAGAATTTGCACAAAAATTCTCTCTTCCAAAATTCTTTAACCTCTTTGATATTCATCCAATTCTCTTATCCCTTCCATAGAAGAGTGTGGTGAGAATTGAAGAGACTTATCTCTTCCCCAAGGAGTGGCATCGAACACAATGAAAGAATCAGAAAGAAAAGCAGAAAACATTCCTATTTTGCCTGTTCTCATAGGGTTTCCTGTAGGAACCCATAGAGCACTCTAATTCATATCAAAACTTATATGATTTTGAAATCAAATACATTTTCATACATCACATCCAATAAGGAACACAATGAAATAATCAGAAAGCAAAACAGAAAACATTCATATTTTGCCTGTTCCTAGAAACATGCATCAGGCAAGGGATTGGGGATCAATCCTACTACCCAACAATTATTCCCGCACCCTGAGCGAGGTTTCTCACTCCCCCTTACCTGGATGAGCAGAAGACAAATGGTCTTGGTGTGATCTAAGGTCGTTCCTGAGTACTCTTCCTTAGAGCTCTTTGTTTCTCCTCTTTTTTTTCCTAACCCTCCAGAACGCAAATGAGGCAGATAGGGTTAATACTACCTGACTCCTTTCTTAAAATTAATCCATTGGGCTGGGTCAACCCAACCCATTTTCCTTCTCTTCTAACCCACTTCTCTTTTTCCTCAAAATAATTAAATAAAATAAATACATGTATATTATAAAATATTTTTCCTCTATAATAATAATATATTTCTGACCCAAAATATAATAATATAATTTCAATAACAAAATATCATATAAAATCAACCTTCTCTTAAAACATATAAATATTTATTTAAAAATGCTAATAAAAAAACTTATTTAATACGTACAAAATAATTGTCCAAAACAATAATTATTTAAAACGTACAAAATAATATTCTTCTATAATTATTAAAATAATTATGACCAAATACCATATAATAATAATAATAATAATAATAATAATAATAATAATAATAATAATAATAATAATAATAATAATAACCTTTTTGAAAACTGGGGTGTTACAATACTTCCCCCCTTTTAAGAAATTCGTCCTCGAATTTCTGAAATGAAGAAGTTCGATTATGACTCCTTCATTAAACTCAAGATTCTTCCTAAACGTCCTAGGCAAACCCACAACAAAGTCTAGACGCATTATCTCACCTCCAAACAGGGACATCTAAAGGTTACAAAAGTCCTAAAAGGCTTCTGATGTTCTGTCTTAGACTTATACCATACTAAACATGAGTACACAAACTTCCTCTACTCCTCTCTTCACCTTAGGCCACCACGCTTCTGCTATGTCACTCTGATACATCATAGTAGCTCCTAAATGGATGCTAAGAGTACTCTTATGTCCTCCCTCTAAGATCATCTTCCTAAATTCAAGATTACTAGGCCATAGATCGTATCATTGAACCCCAAAAACCATCAACTTCCACTCGTAAAGGGCTATCTATACCCCTACCAATCCTCTACACTTGGTTCACTAAGAAAGGATCTAACTCCTAGGCTTCTCTATTCTCGTCCATTAATTCATTAGTCACTTAAACATACTAAATTCAATGCTCCTAAGGGTGAGCTCACACATCACGCTTAAGTCTCTAAGTTCTTCAATCAACTCCAACCCTTAAATCATCAAAGATGGTAGGTGAATGGTCATCCTACTCAAGGCATCTTCCATAATATTAGCTTTACTTCTGTGACCCTCTCCCAAGATCAAACACCTAAGCATAAGTTCACCAGGTACACATACCAGGTCTCTAATTTCACCATTCCATCTACACCCAAGTTAAACTCTTATCCATCCTTATCCTATAGCCTCATGTCTTGTCACCAAAATGAATCAACTAATTATGTTTTTCAAATTTCTTTCAACAACCCACTCGTTTCTCAAGTCATACCTAGTTTTACACTACTCGGAGTAAACTCACCTGTCAAACTTAAATCCCTAATTTGAGCTCAAAGATCCATCTTTCTAATCATGAAGGAAGATAAATATAAAGGTTTCTTACTCAAAACATCGGTCACCACAATGGCTTTGGCAAAATAACAAATAAGATCAAAATCTTATTCCTTAAGAAATTCCAACTATCTCTTTTATCTCATATTTAACTCCTTTGGTCAAAAGATATTTAAGGCTCTTATGATCACTAAATACTTCAACTAAGATTTAAAAGACCTAGAAAACTCACTTCATACAGCCAAAAATCGTACTTCAATAACTTAGCATAAAATTGTCTAATATATATCCTCATCCTCAACTCCAATTTGATGGTATCACACCTTAAGGTCAGTCACAGAAACAGTCACTAATTAATCCATAAGGTCATCTATCCTCGTATCAACATACATGCATATCAAATCAAAATCTAAACAAGATACAGGCAAATCCAACTTTTGGACACAAAAGAAAAAAATAAAGGAATGAGTTGCACCGAGATCAAATAGTACAATTAAAGGAGTCTCAGCTATGAAACAAGTACCTTGTATCAGATTTTTCGACTGAGCAACTCCAGCACCACTAAGAACAAATACTCTCGCTACAGCCTTTGGATGTTCAGCTTTGCAAACCCGATCCAGTAACACGTAGTTTTGGCAGTTTAGGACATTGGGTGCTGATGTGGCCCTTACCATTGCAATTAAAGCAGGTAACCTCCTTGTCACGACACTAGAACTGACTATGACCAGGATGTCCACACTTCCAGCATTTGCCTGAAGGAGTTGACACAAACCCTGCAACACTTCCGACAGCACTAACAATGGATCCTCCAATAAATGACTTGCTTCCACTAGCAGCAGTTTTACTCCCTCGAAATCTAGCAGGAGCAGAGTAAGGCTTACTCTTACTCGAAGCATCAGAACTTGCAGCACGCATAGGACCTCCAACTTCCTTGTAGAAAGCAGCACGTGCACAGTTGTCATGGTCAAAGATGCGACACTTGTTCACTAAGGTTGGAAAATGGTAGATCTCCTGATAATTGATCGTTGTCTTCACTTTGGGACGTAACCCATTCACAAACTTAATGCATTTAGCACGTTCACCACCCTCACCATGATAGTGGGAGCAGTAACGAACCAATGAGTCAAACTTGGAAGCATACTCTGCTACTGTGTCATTCCCTTGCTTTAGTTCAAGGAACTCCACTTGCTTCTGACTCCTCACATCATCCGGGAAATACTTCTCAAGGAAGACCCTCTTGAAGTTGTCCCAATTCAAGTGTACCCCTCCATCAATCATCCTTTGAAGTGCTCCTTCCCACCAAAAGTGGGCATCAGCAGTCAACATGTAGGTGGCCAACCTCACCTTCTGAGCGAGAGGACATTCCATGACATTGAAGATCTTCTCGATCTCCGTTATCCAATTCATTGCAGCATCTGGGTCATATCCTCCTTTGAAGGTAGGTGGGTGATTTCGCTGAAATTGCTCCAACCAGTTAGGAGCGACTCCAGCCCTATCGTTATTACTCATAGCTTGTGCTAAGGCTTGAAGGGCTGGATGAGATGGAAACTTTACACACTAGTGGTACTTGGGAACTTGTCCCCTTACCTCACAACAAGACTATTGTTGGTTGTTGGGTTTATATGGTGAAAAATTGGACCAAAAGCTCACTTGGTGGCAAAGACTACCCAAATTTTTGGTCTTGATTATGGGGATAGCCGAAATTATTTCCGTTCACCTATTCTTGTTAAGGCTGCCATGTGTCACTGGCTTCCTCACCAGTTGTAAATCAATAATGTCTTCTAGCATGGTGAACTGCAGGAAGAGGTTTATATGGATTAGTCACCATATTTTACAATTTCAAGTGACTCTTAACTTGTTTGTCAACTTCATCATTCTCTCTATGCCTTGAAGCAGCCTACTTGTGCCTAGTTTGGCTACTTCAATTGTGTCTTGCTAACGTTTGGCATGACTTGTGAGGTTGATCATTGTGTTTTCCATCCACTCTTTGGCTGGGCAATGCATTTATCTTATCATCTTTGTTGATGACATGGACAATATCCAACAACTCAAGTCCCACCTCTTTAATTAGTTTCAGAAGAGTTGGAACCTCTATTTAAGTTGTCCAATCGTCCTCTAACATTGCTTTTTTCCAACAAAAATATGCTCTAAACTTTTTGTTTGCGACGGGTATGCCTAATTGTCATCTCTACAATACTCCTATGGATCCCAGTGTCAAGCCTCTCACGAGGAGTTAGGGGGGTGGTGGTGGTGGAAGAGGGGCTATTGAAAGACTTAGGAAGATATTGATGTCTTGTGTGCAATCTTAACTATCTAACTATCACTAGACCTAATATCATAGTAGTCAATCCCGGATAGCGGCGCGGAGCGGCCGACCCTAAAACTGGGATAGCGGGATGACGCGGAGCGGGATAACCGCTATTTAAATATTAATTTATATATATTAAATAATTAATAATATATATATAAAAGCTAAAAAAACAAAAATAATTAATAATATATATATATATAGAATCAGAAATTAAAAAAAATATGCTGCTGAAATAGAAATAGAATTTTCTGAAATTAAAAATAAAATTTTCTGAATTAAATTTAATCAGAAATTAAAAATAAAATTTGCTGAATTAAATTTAATCAGAAATTAAAAATAAAATTTTCTGAATTAAATTTAATCAGAAATTAAAAATAAATTTTTCTGAATTAAATTTAATTAGAAATTAAAAATTAAATTTGCTGAATTAAATTTAATCAGAATTTAAAAATAAAATTTGTTGAATTAAATTTAATCAGAATTTAAAAATAAAATTTGTTCAATTAAATTAAATCAGAAATTAAAAAAAAATCAGTTGAAATAATTTAATAAATAATTAAAAAAAAATATGTTGTATGTTGCATAAAAGGCATCCTCGAAGGAGAATAGAAGGAGAATAGAAGACAAACGCGCGTCGGAGCTTTCGCCACGTCGGAGCTGCGTCGGACCTGGAGGCAATAATAATAATAATAACCTTTTTGAAAACTGGGTGTTACACACAATCTCCTGGACATGGTGTCAACTCTCATAATGGACGTCTTGTTCCTCCCAATTAGGCTACAAAATTGTGATACTACTGGTTATATGACCCACAAGCAAGCGTTGTCTCCAAATCAATGTGAATATGCTTTAACTCACTTTTATTTTGGCTAGCAGTCCGGTCTTTCAATATGGTAAGTTGCCTAACCCTCTTCTTGGTAGGTTGACTTGGCTCTACATTCCTTGAATAAGATGGGGGAGGAGAATGAGGAGGAATATCGTCCGTAGGTTTGTAAGAAGAAAATATACGAGTCATGTTGATAATTAAAATACAACAAATATTATACACATAACTTTGCAACAAAAAATCACATTAAGAACCATACCAACTCTACTATGAATACCAAAAAAACCCAAGAGCTACCCAATGATTGTCCCATACCAACCCCCACAAAAAAAGCCACATTAACACACATAATAAAGGAAAATTAACACACATATCAAACCCAAAAAAACTAGTCAAACCACAAACTAAACTAAATAAGCTCCCAAACCTCAAACCCACACCATGTACCAAAATACGCATAGAGTTCTCAATCAAGCAACATCTCAACAACACTTGGCAGCACAAACTTCTCAATTAAACAAAAATAATGCACAAAATTGGAAGGTCAGAAAAAGAGAATGAATTTGGTTGGAGTGAGTGTGAAGGAGAAGTGAAGAACCTCGTCGGATTGAAGAACCTAAAAGAATAGAGTTCTCTACAAACCCACATTATCCACCACAAATCCTAAAATTCATGGAAGAAGGATAACGAACCTGGTTGGAACATGTGCGAATGAGAACGGAAGAAGGTCATTGGAGTGAAACAGAATTGAAGGAGAAATGGTCGTTGGAATGTTCTCGTCACAATGGTCATCGAAAATAATGGGTAGCGTGGATGAGAGGAGTCATCGAAAATAGTCACAACTTCATCACCAGAGAGAAACAAGAACTATAGAGTGTGAATGAGTCCACACCCTCTTAGTGACCTAATAACAAGGTATTATGTGACAAATGATGATTTATCCATTATAGAATATTTCTTTCTATGTTGGGTAAGTTAACATTAGTCATAAAATGGTTGGAGTCAAAGGCTGACCAAAATATTCTATGATAGGTATTGACTTACCTGTCATTAAAAAAAATTCTATGATAGGTAAGTCAGTAACCATCATAAAATATTTTTATTTATAAGTATGTCACTATGTCATTTTGTATATCACATGGATGACACTTGACATTAAAAACGTGTTAGAAAATGTCATTTTTGATTTAGTGAAGATACTAATTAATAACCATTATGTATGTCTTATTAAATTGTTCTATTTAATAAAAAAAAGTATATGTAAAATTACTTATATTGATGATATAATAAATGTTATTTTTAATAAAAGAAAACCTATGCATGTAAAAAAAAATTGATTAAAATATATTAAATGTACAAATTCAATGATTCTAATTACTTAAAAAAAAATATATGATAACTTTTTTTATTTTTTTATTTTTAGTATAATAAATATTATTTTTAGCAAAACATTTCTTTCTTAATATATTTACGATAGTTGTTTACATTTAAAAAAACATCTTGAAAATAATTATTAAGTAAGCATACTAAAAATAAGTATATTTTAATGTAGGGATGAAAAAAGTACTTGAACCCTACAATTATGGGTATTTAATTATCTACAATTTTTGAGTCTAGGTACAGGTAGGAATACACCCGCATTACGCAGGTATGTACGCAAGTATTATAGTACCCATCCTAACCCGTCCTGCTTTTAAAAGTAATTTTAATTATTTTTTTCTACATTTTTTTAGCCATTGTCATAATATTAATTATTCTGCACCAGCTTAAGAAGGAAAAAATATTCGATGAGAGATATGAAATCTTCGAAGGATCTTGCAAGTCAAACTTTGATATGGTTACTTAATTACAAGGTTTTTACTTTATATCAAACAAACTCTTTCTAATATTTGAGTCAATATATTTAGTGTTAGGAAATATGATTTCAGAGGAGGAATTAAAAAACATTATATATATATATATATATGACAATTAAATATATTATTTAATACAAAAAATTAATACTATAATTCTCTAACAATATAACTGTACTGATCGTACTACGTAACCGAACTCCAAGCTCGACACCACAACGCAAGTGTACTGTCCATACTGCGTAACCGAGCTCCAAGCTCGGCACCACAACGCAAGCCGACTTCAGACGCGCGCCGCGTGACATCAGCTCGGTATGTAGGTGAATCATAACTGATCCCCGAGGATCTCGCCCTAGACGAGATCCGTTATCTAATCATGTTACACTTCATCTTAGGCCCAAGGCCCAAAGCAACCCTAAATCACACCAAGGTACGTGCATTACATATACGAGACTACTACTCATACAAACCCTAACTTTAGCATCGGAGTCTCTTTTGCAGGTACCACCCCCATCTTGGAGCACCAGCGTACCCGTGAAGGAGGCTCACCGATCTTAGCTCTTATCGGCCACCTGTATGGTTTTCACCAGAAGCCATAGCAGACGAGTAATAGACGACGCTGAACACTCAATCACCATGGACAGCGACGCTGCAACCTTGAGAAGACTGATCGACCAAGTCGAACAGATGCGACAGCAGCATGACACTGACCTGCGCAACATGCGCGCCAAGCACGAAGCCGACCTAGCGGCAATGCGGACAGCTAATGAGGCAGACCTCGCAGCGTTACGTGAAGAAAACGAGCGCATTCGCGCCCAACTCCCTCGACGCCCCTATGATCGCCCTCATCACGGGAGCAACATCCATGAAGACGAGGCACACCCGGCCTCTCAATCCCGGACTGCGACCAGGGCACCGACTTCACAACCCGCCACGCACCGATCTCATGCATCGACGCACAAGCCGGGCCCAGATGTCAGCAGAGCACCCACACGTGCCACAGAAGGCCACGAAACCTTCCGCTGACATCCTTTTGTGGAGGGCATCATGGAGACCCCACTCCCCCGTAGATGGAAGCCTCTCCATCTCGACCGCTATGATGGCACGACGGACCCCGATGAGCACATTGACCTGTACACGACCCAGGTAAACCTCTACACTAATAGTGATGCTATCCTGTGTAGGGTTTTTCCTACCTCGCTCAAAGGAGCCGCGCTCCACTGGTACACCCAGTTACCCGCCGAGTCCATCGTCAGCTTCAACACCTTAATCCGGCGGTTTACGGCACAATACGCCACCAGCCAACCTCACCACACAACCTCCACTGCTTTGGCCAACCTCAGGCAGAATGATGACGAACCTCTGTGAACCTTCATGGAGCGTTTCTCTAGCATCTCGGTGAGGATCCGGAACTTAAACCCCAAAGTCGCCCTGCACTCCATGCTCATGGCCCTCAAAGCTGGCCCCTTTGTCGACAGCCTCTGTCGAGACCCCCCCCGCGACATGGACGAGCTCCGCG